CTGGAGCTTACTGAGAGCTCGAGAAAGGACGTTCTGGTTCTGTATGACGAGGATGGCACTACGGTTCTACGACGTATACACGGTACTGTGGGTAATGTCATCTGGGAGTTCCGCGAGGTCTCCAAGAACATCCCTCTTCAGGTCTCGACCGATATTTCCAAGATCTACGTTATCAGCCTTCACGGATCGCCTGCTTCTTACAGCCTCAAGGTTACTGCGCTCGACACTCTTACAGGAGGACGATTGGACGACTTTGCCATTGGCACTAAGGGTGACGTCCATGGACCCAAGGACGTCATGTTTGTTGGAGGCAACTCTGCGGCCCCTATCCTCGCATGGGCTGATAGCACCCTCACCAAGCTCAAGGTCAACGTCTTGGGAAGCAAGACGACTCAAGACCTCAAGCTGCCTTCCGACGCTGTCGCTGTTGCTATTCACGCGCCTCACCTTGTTCAATCCCAGCCTCATTTCCTTGTCCACACCCGAACCAAGACCGGAAACAAGGCCGAGGTCTATCATACCGACTTGAAGAGCAGCCAGGTTACCAAGGCCTACGAACTTCCTCACCTTTCTGGCCCCGGTGCTTTTTCCACCAGCTCTGACGGAGCCAACGTTTACTTCGCCCGCGTCACTGAGGATGAGACTCTTGTTGTCTCATCTGAGTCTCACGCTGTTCTGGCTCGATGGCCCTTCAAGCCCGCTGGCGATATCGAGGCTGTTCACGCTGTTGCTGAGGTCCTCAAGAAGCCTGGCACTGAAGGTTTTGCTATCCGAGCTGCTGCTGTCACCAAGTCAGATGACTGGGTTCTTGTCCGTAACGGCGAGATTGATTGGAAGCGACCCGAGGGTCTCTCCGGCGCTGTTGCTGCTGTTTGGGCTGACGTTCCCGGTACTGAGAACCTCGCCAAGGTTCTTGAGGAGGAGGCTCACACCAACCCTCTCTCAGCCTACATTCACCGTGTTACACGACATATCGATGACCTTCAATACCTTCCTGACTACCTTGCATCTCTCCCTCAACGAATCATCACCAGCATCTTCGGTGGCGAGCCCGCTGCTAAGAAAGAGGGCCTGCACCGCGACACTTTTGGCTTCAACAAGCTTATTGTGCTTGCGACTCGCCGTGGTCGTGTGTACGGTCTTAGCACTGAGCACAAGGGCCAAGTCATCTGGTCCAAGTCTGTCCTTCCCCAACTTCCTGGCGAATCTCTCGAGATCAAGGGTATCTATGCTAAGGATGAGGGTGTCGTCACTCTGCGTGGCGCCAAGGGTGAGTATGTTGCCATCAAGAGCGACACTGGCGATGTTGTCGAAGTGATGCCAGCCGGTTCGCTTCCCCGTGTTTCCAGCACTGTCGTTGTCGACAGCCCCGCTGGCAAGTGGTTGCTTCCTGTTGGTGCCAACGGAGAGATTGGACCCGTTCCCGCCGGTTTCACTCCCAGTGAGACCGTCGTTGTCCGTGGTGAGGGAGAGATTCTTAAGGGTGTCAAGTTTGTTGAGGAGAACAACAAGGTCACTGAGCAAGAAGTCTGGCAGCTTCAGCTCTTCCGTGGTCAGAAGATCGTGGAGATTGCTAAGCATGCTCCCCACGACCCTGTCGCCTCTATTGGTCGCGTCCTGGCTGATCGTCGTGTCAGCTACAAGTACCTCAACCCTAACACAATCGTTGTGGCTGCTATTGACGAGGCAAAGTCCTCTCTTTCTGTTCAGCTGCTCGATACTGTCTCAGGCCAGGTTCTAGCTGCCCAGTCCTATGCTGGTGTCGACGCTACCAAGCCCATCTCTTGTGCGATGGCTGAGAATTGGTACACTTGCACATTCTTTGGCCGATACACCCTTGAGGATGGCACCAAGCGATCTATCCAAGGCTACCAGATTGTCATAGTTGACCTCTACGAGTCTTCTTCTCCCAACGACCGCGGCCCTCTTGGCGACGCTGTCAACTTTTCGTCTCTCAAGCCTGTTGACACACCAACTGGACCTGCTCTGCCTTGGGTTGAGGAGCAAGCTTATGTTTTGTCTCAGCCACTCGACAAGCTGTCGGTTACACAAACACGACAAGGCATCTCAAACCGACAGGTTCTTGGCTACCTGCCTGAAACCCACTCCATCGCCGGTCTAGCTCGCCAGGTCCTCGACGCCCGACGCCCGGTTGGCCGTGACTCAACTCCAGCTGAGAAGGAAGCTGAGGGTCTCATCCAATACACTCCCAGCATCGAGATTGACCCTCGGTCAGTCATCTCTCATCAGCGAAATGTGGTGGGTGTCAAGGACATTCTCACAGCACCAGTCATTGTGGAGAGCACAAGTCTGGTTGTTGCTTACGGCGTGGATGTCTTTGGAACACGCGTCGCACCCAGCGGTGTATTCGATATTCTTGGAAACGGCTTCAACAAGGTAACACTTGTTTTGACCGTTGTATCGCTGCTGGGCGGCGTACTCTTCCTCTCACCGATGGTAAGCATATCCACAATCGCACTCGCATTTATGATGACATCTTGGCTAACAAAGTTCTAGGTGAGGAGGAAACAGATCAACAGGACTTGGGAGGGCTGAAGGGGATGAAAAAAGAGAGGGCATGTCATTATCTGGAGCTAATTACTAGACCCGGCCGACGGTCAGGCCAATGGGAGGAGAATATTTGGTTATGAGCTGTAAATGGAAACAAAGTATCTACCGATCCACGTCATGCCGGTGATTTTGAACGATTGTTTCCGTTGACAGATAGAGGTGGCTAGCCTAGAGGTGTCAGCCTCACAATGTAACGATCCAAATGAGATGCCACAATTGGAAAAGCCACGTGCTATATCTGTCAGCTTAAACGGCCGAGATCGGGATCTCCGCGAGCCCCGGGAGGCGGAGCATCGCCGGGCTTGGCGCCACGGCGTCGTCGGGACTGCAAGACCAGAGACGCGGGAGCCGACAAGCCGTGCTTTGATTACATCGTGAGAGGGAGAAAGTGATTGGTGAACAGTAAGCACATGGACTCCCCTGCTTTGTTCCTCGTATCACTGCCTGCATCTAGGCATATACTTGCTCTGCATATGCTTCGTATAACATGATTATTCTCACTCAAGTCTAGGACTTTGAGCTGACGGTGGGGAGATTGGGGAAAGTATTTGCATACACGGGTTACTCAATGCACTTTTGACACTCTCATACCAAGCGAATCATGTATTCCTCAGAAGATCACGAGGTTGAACGTGCGACCACATCAACGAGCATCTATATTTGTTTTCCAATCATGTTTCGCGATTGAACGTAATTAATTCCTCCGAACCCTCGGGAAACACGAGAAGAGGCTTTTGGGGACGAATAAGCTGTGGGCAGTTGGGCTTTTGCTTTTTGCGGGGTAATGAGATGAAGGTTGCTTCGGGATTTATTTTTAGGAGGAGTGATTCTGGTTGGATGGGCGCTGGATATTGACTGTTTTGGTGTTGTATTATGTCAGTTCATGATATTGTATTGTGAGATTATTTGTAGTATCATATCATGACCTCAGTACGGTATCATAGCATGCTCTTGATGATATACAGATGTAGAATTAGTACTGGCTTTAACACTGTATCATCGTAACAAATACCTGTAACACCACATCTGTAGGGCTGGTAGCTCAGATCGTGTGACTATCTAGTGATGTCGTGTAAGTGGCTTGCCCAGAAGCGAGTCCGATATGCCACACCCGGCCTAGCTCCCTTGACAAGTTAACGTTGCCATTTGACAGAAACTAGTACGAGCGAACTAGAATAATGGAAGTCCAGAGACTGACTGACTGCCTTGTGCATCGTCACATTCTAGAGTAAGCCTCGTATTGCAAGACGATCTCCCGTCTCTCTACGGGGAAAATGGAGCCAAAATAGCATGAATCTAGGACTGAGGCCGGGCATGGCCTCCACCGTCAGCTCGTGTAAGTCAAGTCGAACCTGTGAGGTAAGAACAGAAACTTGATACTCGAGAAGAGAGCAACATCCATTGTGAAATCAAGTATATAAACTCCCCTTCCTAACCTCCAGATCCCAAACTTTCTTTTCCATCCTCATCAACTCAAACACTGTCTTCTCTCGCTACAAAACACACTCTCGCTCTACTACATCATTCTTCCTGCAAGAACCACCAACCGCAAACATGAAGTTCACCATCGCCCTCGCTGCTCTCGCCTCCTTGGCCGCTGCCACTCCCCTCGATGCTTCCAGTACTGGCTGCAAGCCCGGAACCTACTCTTGCACCCCTGACAAGACTGGCTGGCAGGTCTGCGATGTCAACGGCAAGTATGTTGTAAGTCATCACCACTTCCCCCTCTTCTGCATCTTGGACAAAAGTTACTGACCCTTCAAAAAGGCTGCCGGTGTCTGCCCCCCCAAGACCTCTTGTGTCTTCTACAAGCCGAGCGGTAGCCCCTACTGTGTCCCCCCTGGATTCAAGTTCCCCAAGGCTTAAGCGGTCTTTTGATCCTATGACCTGATAGCTATGGGAGTCACTGGGTGCTTGATGAGACTCTCGACAACATCTTCTATCTTGGTCTGATGCTGGCTTTTGAGGTTGGGTTTGGATTGGGATTGAACTTGTGCATTTGGTCTTTTCCTGTTTTCATGCCTTGCATGAGGTCCTTTCCTTAGAACAAATATTAGATATGGAACATAGCTGGTTGGGTATACATATACATATAGGCACTTAGCTTGCAACTTCAATCTATTGCATTGCCTTTGACCTTTATTTGGACCATGACTGTGCTTAAATATATCCTGACTAGGTGGCCTTTACAAACTAGCGCCTCAGGGAGCAAAAAGACTCCTGACCCTAGATATAGGTGCCAGTACGTGCTCCAAGCTCTAATAAGCCCCCATTCGAGAAATTGATACTGGAACGAGAGGGCGGTGTATATAACTACTTGTATTCAATCTAATTTCGATGATGACCAAAAAGGTATGCTCTAACTGCCTATGCTATCCCGAATGTCAAAACTCCATGGGGCATCCCAATTGTTCTATGTGTACAATAACCTAGCAGTCACCCTGCCAGTTCTTGCTAATCCACTGCGCCATATGGTAGGTGAAAGTACCATCAATGTATCGCTGAACATCAGCATCACTGTAATCACCTGCGCCAGCAAACTTCAGGGCAGGGATGATCCAAGGCTGAATAAAGTCAAGGAAGACAAAGTCAACCGTCTCCGGATCGCCCTTCGAAGGCATGTTGATCTCAGCTTGAATACAGTTGGGTTGCTCGTAAAACTTGAGAGGCTCATGAATAGTGTCATCACCATCAGTGCCGATATCGTCTTTGGTTGTGTATCCAGAGGTCAGGTCAGGTTTGTCAAGGAAACTCCTTAGTTCAAGACGCTTCTCGTCCTCATCCTCCTTATTAGCCTCAAACATAGCCTCCATGGCTGGAGCAGGGAATGCCTGCTCAGGCATAGCCAAGAATTTAACATCTGCACCGTTTTCTGACAAGATCCTTCCGGCGCTGTTCAAGAGATCGATAACTTTGGAAGCAGCCTTGTACGGGACGTCGGGGATGTAGCTGAAGCCGCTGGTAAAGGGGCTGACAGCATATGTGCTATCCCGCGTGAAACCGCCCTTGAAGATGTCGAATCGAATACCGCCAGTGTTGAAGATGGCCAGTCTAGCCTTGTCCTTGCGATCCTTGCGAGTGATAATATCAGGCAAAAGCTGATTGGAGATCCAATAGTAAATGCTATCCTCATCCGTATGCTTGGTTCTTGTCATCCAGAGGGTCTTTGGCGCACAACCAAACTTGTAATCGAGCTGAAGAGCCTTGCGAGCACGAGTGATCATCTGAGTGACTCTCTTGCCATCTGCAGTGGGGAAAGTAGACTCATTCAGGCCGGTGTGGTAGTGCAGTCCGTAGAGATTGTTGTCGATGTATCGTCGCGTAAAGGTGGGTGAAGCAGCGGCCTCGACCTCCTTAGTGCCGCCCTTGCTGATCCCGTCGATTGACATCCATCCAATGGTCTCAAAATATCGACCGCTGGCTATCGCAAATGCCTTGGAATCGTACTGAACAGCATCACGAACGTGTGCATGGCCGCCGAAGAAGGCAATGGGGATATGCCAGTTCTGTTTTCGAATGGCGGTAAAGATGACCTTGAACTCCTCCATGCGAAGACCAACATGACCAATGACAACGAAGAGATCCGGCTTCTCCCGAATAGCCTCTTGGAACCAATCCTCCTTGATGGTGTCTTCCACAGGCTGAACAACGGTGTTGTTGGCATTTCCTGTAAAGTCGAAAAGGAAGCCAAAAGCCACAATTTCGAGACCTTGGTTCTTTGTCTTGAACTTCTTGTAGCGCTGAGCTTGGGGAACACGATCGCCAGTCTTGAAGTCGATGTAGTCTAGGTTGGAAGCGAGATATTTGCCCTTGTAGTTTGGAACGGTGGTGTTGTGCTCCTTATCAGCCGAGTAGGCCTTGTAGAGTTCATGATTGCCAGTGCAGAGGATGTCGATGTCGGCTTCGGCGTAGATATCGTACTGGAAAAGACCCTTGGGGGAGGATGCATCGTACAAGCCGTTGCCTTCGATGCGATCGCCAGTGTCGATGACTAGAAGGTCGCTTCCTTGCTCATCGGCCTGCTTGCGCATATGCTTGGTGAAAGAGATGTAATCTCCCCAGTCGGCAGAGTATTGGGGCCTATGATGTTAGTTGTGATTCATCAAAGTGACCAGGTAAGACATACTCCTGAAAGTGACCGCCAATCCAGCCATGGGTATCAGTTGTGTGGATAAAGTTGAGCTGACCCCAAGTAAGGTCTCTCATGGGACCCGGGATAGGCTCGATAGCTCCAGGTTGCGACGCACAAGCTACAGCGACCAGGGCTGAACCAGCAGCGAGTGTTTTACTCCTGAGAATCATGGTGGCGTTATGTGACAAGACAGAGACTGATTGTGGTCGACAAGAGGGTGAAACCGCCTTGTTTTGATGGATGAAGAAGAAAGAAGGCAGCCGAGGTCGGCTCGAATGGAAGAGGCATGATAAGGTCGACGCATGGTAGAATGACGTTGGAGGGGACCCTGAGGGACAACAAGGCTTCGAGTGCCGTGATTGGCTGATACCTTTGGCATGGAAGCTTATCAGCGAATGGGAAACGTTGGATGGCTCCCCGCAAGGGGTCACGACCAGTCGATAGCGCACATCAGCGGGTCCGCTGCCTGGGCCACGAGGACGCGCATTCCGAGACTTCACCCGTGACATGAGTTTCAGCAGGTGTCATGAGGAAATGCCTGAGGATTCGGTCCAAGGGCTTCTTGATTTCGCCCGGAAGGCTTGAGTTAGTGGAAGAAAAACATGAGTGTAAAGGGGAGAGTTCAGGTGATGACTTATGCCCAACAGGTTCTATAGACTCATGAGGATACTCGAGTTGCCATTACCGAACTCATCTTAATCGTCTCCTGTAGGCCCAGGCGATCCCAGAAACCTCAACTGAACAACAACTCACGTCGACAAGCGGATACTATAACTAAACATTCCCCTCGGCCTCATCATCCGCTTGTTGGTTCACTTACACCGGAAGATCTGGCCGTACTTTGCACATCCTTACCGGCGGCTCAAGCGAAATAGTCTCCGAATTTGGTATAATAGCGCGAGGCCAAGCTTCCATCTAACACTGCAGCATACGATAGGTCGGATGTTTCTTACAGTGGATCTTTGGTCGCCGGTACGAAATACGAGACGCGCCGGAGGCCCCACCACCGGCCGCTGTGCCTCCCGGTTGCCGGTATAAGTTAACGGTTCAAAGCCCGGGTCTCAGTTGTGATCTGTATTTAACTTATAAAGCACACGACTCTTGAGCTTTGATATGCCCCCAGAATATGACCCAAGACTTTGCTTGATGAGTATCCATTCGACCGTCTGAAGTCTAGTCGCGTGTCAGCACATCGGACATCGGAGCATCTGCATGTCCCGGCCAGACCAAGGCAAATGCATCACCGAAAACCTTGACTTCTTCATAGCCCCTGGGCACGACACAAGAAGTAGATATAGAGAGACATGTCGAATACTGATCCTTCGGGGTCTTCGTCGACAAATTCTGGTAAACCTGCCCACAAGGTACACATCAACAACCAAAGGCGTCTCACTAATACGCTACAGGGAAGCTGAGTGGGGACAACATATCGCGAAATCTCAACATAAACTCAGAAAAGGACTGTTTTGATCTCCTGTTTCAAGAGATTACAGCTTTGCCAGAGCGTGAAACGTTGGCACCAAGCTCAGCACCTTCGATGGCTTCTCAACTGTCACTCATATCACGTATGTCATTCTTATGCCCATGTTACAGAATCATGATATATCTGACAGCAGTTAGAGAGAAGTTCAGCAACGGATAGCACCACAAGAACCAATGTGTGGATAGCAAAAACTGTGCGAGCAGCCATGTCTGACGCCCTCTCCAAGCCATAAACACCGGTAGGAACTGAGAAGAATTGATTCTTTCTACAGTTCGTTAATTAACTGATAAGCCCTCCGCTGGCTTCATGGTATCATAAATCCACGGAAGGTCTTGACAGAATAACTTGGTTGCAGCAATTGGAAGACAAGACTGGTCGGGGAATTTCAGCTTGGCCGTCGCTTTAACAGCGCGCACGGATGACAGACTGCGGCTCGTTCCGCACAACTTTAATGGACTGCATATTGAGTGACTGATTCACCTGTCAAATTTCAATGGAAAGGAACATTGTTATAATTATTATTTAGAATATGACCAAGACAAAAGAAATGATTCGAGACCGAGTCAATGAAATAGCTTCGGCCAATTTATCTTGCCTACCCCCACGTGGTTACCCACCATCCTCACCTCATCTCGTTCCCGTTTCCCTACCAAAGAACAAGCCTAGCACTTTGGTGACCCTCCTTCAGGTCAGCTCTACAACGCCACAACAACGTTGATTGCTAGTTAAGATCGACAATTGAGTTCCATATCCCTCGAATCTCAACGTATTTCTTCAATTTTACACGCTGAATTCGTTTACAGGTAAGATGCATGATGTGCCTTTCTTCACATGTTCCTCCAGCTGCTGTAGTCTGCACCCTTCTGTAAGCACTGTAACATCCCCTGCAAAAGGAGCTTTGACCCCCCGGCAGCCGCCGTCCTCCCCCACCGAACAAGACGCCACTGGGAGCTCAATCGAGGACGTTTGACCCGACCAAGTCTAGCTTCTGTTCTTGGCTCCCGATAAATCGTGGATCCCAGTACCAAGCTGATCCAATAACGAGAGCTAGAACTCGCTTTAGTGAAAAAAAGAAAGGGAAAAAATTGCAGATGATCGATGAATAAAAGGGACCTGGACCTCTCGAGTCCTTCTAGTTCTCTCTTCTGTTTCGCTGCTCCAAAAGATCATCGCTGCCTTTAACGGTGTCTCCGTGTCGATCGACAAACTCGCCTCCAGAGCAAGACATTTCTTGCGCAACTCAAATACCCTTCCCCCGCGATACCTTTTGCGACTTCATATGTTGACCTCTGTTAACTCGGCTTCCTTCAACAACTTCACACCGGCACATTGGTACATGTGCCGCGTCAGTTCCTAAGAACATCAGCGAGCGACTTTGAGTCTTTGCGCTTGCTGCAACCGGAGACGATAGAAAGACTTCATCTGAAGAGAGATTATATTCTTACTCAGTGATTCATTACTTTTGCGATTGGTTTACGAGGTATGTTGCGACACCAGCGCAATTGAATCCGCTACAGCAATAGAGAATGCGATCGCTAATTGATAGATAGATATTTGACGATACCCCTCGAATAAACCTTTCATCATGTCGGCTACTCAACCCATCGCCGTCAACACCCCCGAGAACCCCTCTTCCGAGGGCGACTCCAAGGGCCCAACCGCCAACGCTACCCAGGCGTCCATCGCCGCAAACGAAGATGCCGCCGTCAGCCAGGGCATCCACACCCTCGAAGTCAAGTCCGTCCATTGGTACAGCTACCTGACCACCCTCGACTTCTGGATCGTCCTCGCGCTGGGCCAAGTTCTTGCGTTGTGCATCACGGCCACCAACACCTTCACCAGCTTCCTCGCCAATGCGGGCACCAACATTCCCGCGTTCCAGACCGTCTTCAACTACATCCTCATGTTCCTCATCTACACCCCTATTTTTCTTTGGAAGGACGGCATCAAGGGCTGGTGGCGCGTTGGAGTGAAGGATGGGTGGAAGTACCTCATCATGGCCTTTTTGGACGTCGAGGGAAACTACTTCACTGTTCTGGCGTACCGATACACGAACGTCTTGTCGGCGCAGCTTATTAACTTTTGGGCTATTGTCTGCGTTGTTGTCATTTCGTTCTTCCTGCTCAAGGTTCGGTACAGAATCTTTCAGATCATTGGTATTGTGGTCTGCTGTGGTGGTATGGGTATTCTCATTGCCAGTGATCACATCAGCGGTACCAATGGCGGCAGCGGCCTTGATATGGTCAAGGGTGATTTGTTTGCTCTGCTTGGTGCCACTCTCTACGGTACTACCAATGTATTCGAGGAGTGGCTCGTGTCCAGGGCTCACTTGTACCACGTCCTGTCTTTCCTGGGCCTGTTTGGTATGTGTATCAACGGTGTCCAGGCTGCCATCTTTGACCGAAACTCTTTCGATAACGCAACCTGGAACGGTAAGGTTATCGGCTGGATCATCGGTTACACTCTTTGCTTGAACATCTTCTACATCCTCGTGCCCGTCATGCTCCGTATGGGAAGTGCGGCTTTCCTCAACATTTCTCTGTTGACTGCCAACTTCTGGGGTGTCATCATCGGTATTCGGGTCTTTGGTTACAAGATCCACTTCCTGTACCCTATTGCCTTTGTTCTTATCATCATTGGTCAGCTCGTGTATTTTGTTACCGGTAGCATGCTCAGTGATTCTAAGAAGCCTTGGTTGGGTGATAACCAGGAGGATGGTGTTTTGGGTTTCGGAACTGCCAAGCTCAAGGCTCTCAACGCTGCGCGCAAGGCTCAGATTGAGGCTGAGGCTGGGCAGCGAGATACCTACCGCTAAGTTGAAGTGTGGTTTGGGCAGGTGTCGAAGTTGAGATATTGAGTTCAATCTGGGATTGCATTCTGATAGATGCCCGGTATGGCTAGCTGAATAGTAGACTAGGAGATTATGATGGCAGTTGAAAGTCAAACAGTTTATATAAATAATGCATAATCTCATCTATATCATCACCCCAGACTATGGGAAGAAGATTAATGACCTTGGGGCTGATATTCACTAGATACTTGTAAAGTAACTTAGCTTGCTGCTCTAAATATATACCTTAAGAAGGATTATCTACCTAAATCAATTTGTTGTCATTGACTTGTTGTTTGCAACCAAAACCGGGTGATTGTGTCATTCCGTCTTTAAGAGTCACCTTTATCCCAATGGACGAAAGTACTTGGGTAAGTTTAGTGTATCTCAGTGACACTTTAGACCTGTCAATTTTGGCACTCTAGGTGAATGAGGAGGAAGCAAACAATGCTCTCTCGTCTTAGCTGCTGGCTCAATAGTTGGCAGTGCCAGCCAGTTTAATTTTGCTTGACAGTGATTGAGCCTTGGTCACGTAGGGAAGTACATACAAACCAAAAACCTGAGACCATCTTCATCTTCTTCTTTTCACCAACATCAGAAGGCACAAAAGCAGACACAACAACAGACTCTTTGCAGCATGGAGTCTATATCCTACGATGTAGACCCAGACGGCGACATCGAGCTGATATTGAGAAAGCCGAACAAGCAAAAGATCGTGCCAACCGATTGGACATTCCTTGGCTGGGAAACAAATCCTGGTCAACCGGAATTCACCAACTCACCTTGCCTCGGTCGATACAAGGTCTTCAGCAAGCTCTCTCCGGGTGATGAAAACCACAATCCAGAGGCTGAAGTTC